ACACACACACACACACACACACACACACACGCACAAACACACATACACACACACACATACACACACATTGAAAACACATGGAAAACACCATCACGACGAAAATGACTTACTTATACATATACCATGACCCTATGAGATCAATCAACTAAAATCACAAGACTTGCTACATGTGCACATGTATAGATCTAAGTACAGCACACACTCAACACTTCGCCAAAACAAAAATGTACGACATTATGCCAAGCTTGGAGAAATAAATAAAATGAAAATTTCGCGACCGCTGTCTACCCACATTACCAGCAACAACAAAAAGTACATGATTGTACCAGCAACAAAAAAATGACATGATGCAATCATGGTTGAAACACTTTTTGTGATCTTCAAATTGAAACAAGAAAATAGTCACTCGCCGATCATTAGACTAATTTTGATAGGCTGGTTCCGGATCCTGATTTATTTTTGCGAGAGGACGTAGTTTTCATTACATGTGTAAACGAGAGTATTATCGTCCGCGACTGGACGGCCAGACGTTTTACGCAACTTTTAAAGATCAGACTGTGCCTGCTTTTCTTGACATGCGGACGGACTGCTGGACAATAGTGCGTCAAAAATTAGTGGCCCAACTTATTCAAGTTATTGTCAAAATATATTCCCGAAACAATCAAACATAAACTCTCCAACTTTTCCACAATGACTTGTATAAATTTGTCCAGATCCCAGTGACAGAGATTTATAGTACATGATGTATTTTATATTAATCTATGAAGTAAAGTTGGGTTGTTGTTTTTTAATCTAGTCTCAATTACTGTGGAACCATATGATTAAGTTAAACTGATACAAACTGCTGTGCAACGTATGGATGACATAGATTAACCCTTTACATAAATTACCTGTATTACTTGTCCTGGCAACAATGTCATTGCACACCGGACAGGTCCATAAGTGCTCAGTTTCCCCCAGCACCAAAACCCGCAAGGTATTCATACTGATTGTTCCGGTGGCTGTCTGATTGTGGCGACGTCTTTCCTTTCCAGATAATCGTCCTTTCTTCCTTCTCCTCTTTCTATCCCCATTTCCTGCATTCTAATGATTGCGTGGTGTTCTGCAGTCTCCTTGTCTTCTTCATCCCACACCTTTTCCTCCAGGGTCTTCAACACCTTTGTCAAATGTCACCTCACCATCAACCTCGGCACTGCCTGCCAGCCTATCAGCCTCCTCATTGCCCTTCACTCCAGAGTGCCCAGGACAGAATATCCACGTGATGGCTCTAAGTGATGAGTGTTGTGTTGGGTTCATCCATTCACTCCGAAGCAGTCCTTTTTCAAGTCTTCGCACGATGCTCTGGGAGTCTGTTACATAGATATTTGAGGATAGGTTGCGCCACGAATGTTTGACCACACTCTAACATAACTGCTATTTTTTTAAATAACCAGCGTGTCCACTAAACCAAAACTGCTCGTTCATGTAGTCTGTCTCTCGGAAAGTCGGTTCGATGACCAATCAGCCATAGTCCCGGCAGAACTTTTTTTCAAGTTTTTATTTTAAAAATCTAATGTCCTACTCGCAGTCAACGCCTCAAGATAAGATAAGCAAAGTCTATGCGTAAACCACTAGGTTAAATACTTTGTATGAACGATTTTACTTTAACATTTTAAAAAAATAATTAAATATCAAAAACGTTAAAGGATAAAAAATTCGAGGTTTGATATCTGCCTTGTGGTCTTTAAACTTTGACCTGTTCACACACGCCGGAAACGAACAGACCGACTTGAATTCCTATCGACCAAAAATTGGGTCCTTTTTTTCGGTCATGAAGGGCATGCGGCCTTAGGGGCCTATTACACGATCAGTTAAAACTGACAAGTAGACCACCTTAACCTTTTCAACTCTTTGTGAAAAGAAAATACTACCTGATGCAATCTTGATTTTAAACATACGCCTTTTCATGATCTTGTAAATTCAGCAGG